GAGTGGGCGTACAGGGATCCCCACTGCTGCTCCATGAGTTTCTGTCCTCTGAAACCCAGGGAGGGTGCTGTGCACGCACTACTTTCATTTTAGTAAAAAGCTCTGTGTTCCAGGCAGGGCACCAAAGCAGATGCCTGGCTGGGGGTTGGGGAGGGTCGAACGTGCCAGGGGGCCCTGTAAGAGCTCACTTCCCTTCCTGGGCCCAGCCACTCCACCTGCTTCCCCAAACACCTGCTCTAGACCTCCTTCCCCAGGAGGTCTTCCCTGACCATCAGGATCCTCCTCTCTGAGTTCCAGGGGCCTAACTTGGTGCTGTGTTGCGCACTGACCCCACCCTGTGTGTGTGAAGCAGAGCTGGGATCAGACCTGAGCGTGGAAATGGAGCCAGCCGTGTGTTAGCGGCACCGCCTGTGACTTCTCACATTTCCTTCTCGTCCGTGGGCCTCCATAACACAGGCCTCAGCTTCCTCAAGGATTGACTCAGTGGCGGTGGGACGACTGTGAACTTTGGAATCAAACAGGACTAGTTTGAATCCCAGTTCGGCCACTTACAGGATCTTGAGCAAACCGTGTAAATTCTTTAAACCTCAGTTTTTTTATTGGGAGAATGGGGAGAGACATATTTACCTTATGGGGTTAGTGAGCGTTGTAAATTAACCGATGACAAACGCCTGGCGGGGCAAACAGTCAGTAAGCAGCAGCCGGTGCCGGGAACGCTGCGGGAGCCGCCTGCTACCCTCTCTGAGGGACAGATGTTGGTGTAATTCACTCACGGACCTGATTCACCTTCCTAAGTGAATGATGGTGGGGAGGGGGAAGAGTCAGCTGAGACCCTGAGAGGTTAAGGAACTTTCCAAAAGTCACAGAGCTGAAAGGGGCAGGGCTGGGGTTGGAGTCCAGATCTTCCCAGCTCCCCAAATGGTTCTGAACACAGAGCCGGGCGGAGGGGCTGCATGTACGTCCTGGACGCTCAGTGAATCCAGCTCACGGACCGCCCTGCAGCGTCTGCGTTCATCCCTCAGGTCTCTTTTAAAGCTTCCTTCCCACTACAAGCCATTTAGTGCAGCCGTCACAGCTCTAAGAAGCTGATCCAAGAAGCCAGCTCAAAACAAACAGCAAGACTATGCAGCCTTTGTGAGGAGCCCGCGTCTGTTTGTGTACGCGGCGAGCTCCGGGGAAACCCAGCTCGGTGCTCAGCCCACTCGAGGGGATATTTTCATCTTACCCCTCAAATTGCCCACAACAGGCTCTTTGAAAGGCGGGAAGCATATCCCCTGAGACCTGGGATCGCTAACCAGCTACTAGATTCCCAGAGGTCTTCTGCATTACTAGGGTACCGAACGCTGGCGCGGGTCATTAAATATCAAAGTTCATGTGCAGGAAGGCAAAAAATCATCCAAGTTCTCTGTGCCTCGCTTGCCTTCACAAGTCCTCCAAGGAGGGGAGCGCTCCAGGAGCTGTTTAGGCACCGAGCAGGTGGAAGAGCGTCGCAGGGACGCAGGGACGGAAAGGCTGAGATCTCCAACTGTGAGCGGTGAGGCTCCGCGGGCACAAGGCGCCCCCTCCTCGTCTTTGGAACTTTTTTGTAGCGCTGGCCCCTCCACAACACTCTGTCTCACTTTCTCCTTTTTTTGCAAAGGATCGGCGTCGTTTGTCCGATTTTGGGCAGGAATCTACGCGTTCCTGTTTGGTTCCCGCCAGACCTCATTGATTTGTTGGTTCTCTCAGGTGCTTTGAGACAAATCGGTATTTGTGGTGATGGAGCAGGTCTGGGTCTTGATTGTGGAGGTGATGTGCAAATCTACACGTGATAAAATTGCACAGAACTTTAGACGCACACAAGTGCACGTGAAACTGGCAAAATCTGAGTAAGGCTGGTGGATCGTGCCAATGTCAACGTCCTGGCTCTGTTATAGTTACCGAGACGTTACCATTGGGGGAAACCGGGTGAAGAGTACATGGGACCTCTTTGTGCCTCTTTTTAAACTTACTGTGAATCTATAATTGGTTCAAAATAAAACAATAGTAAAAAAAGACAAATCAGGCACACAGATTTGGGTGGAGTGACCGTGCTTCCTAGCTCAGTCTCAGCAAAAAGCGGGTAGAGTTGAACGACTCCCTGCACCTTTACTGTTGCCCGTGGCTGATCTAGGGGCGCTCACCCTGAAGGTCTTCTTTGATTTGCCAGGTGAGTGACTTTCACATTCTTAGCTTTACACCCTCTCCCCGTGTCCTCTCCATGGAGGAATTTTTAAATAAATCTGAGCCAGCAGTGATTCTGTGCTGCCCCCACTTCTGGGCATGGCTTGGGCCAGCTGTCCCTTCTGTCCAGCATGGCGGCGGACCAGGCTGGCCTGTGGCTCACGGGAAAGAGTGCTGGAGGAAGTCCCTGGGGCGCGGGGGCCAAGGGCACGGCATGGGGTAGAGGGTCTAGGAGCGAACGCTCATCCTCTCCAGCTGCTGTACCCCGTGGGCCATCAATCCTGTTGACCCAGCTATAAATAGGCCAGATAGAGTTGTGCAGCTCAGTCCTGTCTTGTCATCCCCCCAGCACATTTAGCCAGTTTGGTGAGGCTAGGGGCAACAGAGGTTTGTGAAACCGATAATTTAGTGTCAAATAAACAGTGTGACTCTTTGGCCTGGGTTTCCAGGAAAGATGTACTGTTTCTGACATTCTATTGCCTTGGTTAGACCACATAGCCTGACTCTGGATTCAGAAAACATGGTCACTGACATGTCAGATGACCAGTTGACTTTATCAGATTTTTGCTTTTCTATTTATAGCTTTTCCCTGTAGATACAGAGCTGGTGTTTTGACCATTTGGGATATAAAAACCTTATACTAATAATTTAATCAGCCGTCCTAGAGGTCAATGTTTTCTTGCATTTGTAAAGAGCATACCGGTAGAGTTTTTTTTTCCCACTTTTTTTTATTGAAGTAGAGTCAGTTTACAATGTTGTGTCAATTCCTGGTGTACAGCATGTTTCAGGCATCCATACACATACATGTGTTCATTTTCTTATTCTTTTTCATTATAGATCACTATGAGATATTGAATGTAGTTCCCTGTGCTGTGCAGTAGGACCTTGTTGTTTATCTGTTTTATATACACTAGTTAGTATCTGCAAATCGAGATGATCTTATGGCACTTAGCTCGGCAGTTCTGGAGCTAACGTAGATATTTCAACAGTTACACTGTAGTCCGATGAGTGGATCCTTATTTGTGAAGGCAGAAATCAAATAACATTAGCCAAACCGACCATTGGTTCTCCTGCTTAACTCCTTCTCCACTGAGTCTAAATTCCTCCCTGTTCTCAAGGATCCTTACATTCGTTCATTTATTTATTTAACAAAGTTTTTAAGCTTTTTTTTCTTTTTGGTGGTGGGAAGTAATTAAGTTTATTTATTTAATTATTTTTTAGTGGCAGAACTGGGGGTTGAACCCAGGGCCTCGTGTATGCTAAGCATGCACTCTATCACTGAGCTAAACCCTCCCCACCCATTCATTTATTTTTAAAAGTGGTTGTTAACCCAGAGAAAAGGGTGTTTTTCTTTCCTCCCATGTCGAATGTTAATAGCATAGCGAAGGAGTATTTAACATGCTTGTGGATATTTCTGGATTCGTAGATTAGATTTTTTTGAATAAAGATGCTTAGAGAACAAAATATAGTAAAAACAACACATGAAATTGATTGACTCAGTGAAATCCGTTAGTCGTTTATTGAACATCTTCTGTATTTAAAGCCGTGGCTGGAGAGGGTCAGAGGTTCATGTGACTCAGCCTCTGCTCCTGCGGGGTCCATGGCTTTGCTTTCCACAGTCACAGCGTCTACATTTAGAACCAGTCTGGACCCGGCTGGGCAGGCTCTCAATGCCCAGAGAAATGTGCTCTCCAGGCTGCCTGAGACCACGAGAGGGGCCGTGCTCAGTCCTAAGACCAAAGACGCCACGTGCTGTGTCACTGCTCCATATCCTGTGGCGTCACACGTATGTCACAGGCCCACAAACTGGGGACACACGAGCAGGTTAGTCCTGTGGTCTGGACTGGCGATCCAGACCCCGAAGAGAGGAGACCTGGGTTCTCATCCTGGGTCTGCCTCCAACTCGCTTTGTGACCTCAGACAGCGACCTCGGACTTCAGGCCTTCAGTGTTCTGTACACGGAGTGTGGGGCCTGCACGGATGGTTCCCAAGCGCCTCTCCACTGCAGCGCTTACTTTTCTTTCTTTTTTTTTTGTAACCGAGGTTAAAATGAATGGATGGAGTATCACTTTCAAAGGCTCTGACAGCTGATGGTTTCACCTCTCTTCCCAAAAGATGTGTTCTGAACGTTGTCTGGGTGAGGGTGGAACTTGCTTTTCCTGAGGATGTGCTGAGTAATCAGCTCTCCCATCTTCCACATGTTCTGTGAAGTCTTTTAAGTCCTCGAGGACCAACTCCGTGTGCCGGTGTCTCTCCTACTTTCAGCTCTACCTGCAGTGTACGTGCCTTTGCGTAGAAGAGAAAATGGCTCTCCGACAAGGCCCACTTGCATTTTCGGGAGAACAAGCACATAGTGAGTTAAGCTGTCTTGACGTGGAAGATTCAGAAAGTCCCCAGGATAAGATGCGCCCTCCTCTACCTGTTCTCCTGGCGGGGCTGCTGGGGTCTCACCGCCACGGGGACCCCTGGTGACGTGAAGGCCACTCTTCCCTGGGAATCTGAACTCCGAGCAGAGACACCCAGGTGTTTGGAGCAGCCGCTGGGCCTTGGCCTTTCTGGAGCCCGGCTGTGTGATACAGGCTGGTTCTGAGCCACTCTGTCATCCTTCCCCAAATTGTCCTCCACCTGAGCTCGGAAGGAAGACAGGCAGGCAGGCCCCTGATGCTAACTGAACAAACTATCTTTAGTGAAGGACCGGTTTTTCCAGTTTTCGATTTTGGTTTCCTAGCCTGTCACCAGCATGGTCATACTACGCGTTATCAGCGTGCGCCTCACACCACCTGTGCCTCACCATCAAGATGTCCAAATGGCCCACACTGCGCTGTCCCGTGTCAGTGCTGCAGGAGTGTCAGGTTGCACGGAAAGGCTCCAAGCGCTTCCTCCAAGTTTCTCTTCCTGCCTGTTCGAGGACGGGTGACCCACAGTTTGTGGACGGGTATTGGCACTGGGCTGGAGTTTCTAGGGGCCCAGGTAACTTGGCCTCTGTCTGAAGCTGGGGTGTGTTGACACCACTAATGCCACACGGGCTAGTGGACCAGGACACCACTGTCCCTGTGGAGGGCTCCACCCTGCCCACCCGCTGTCCCCAGACTCCCTGCTGTCTCAGTCCAGCACGAGGGTTGCCACCGTGTCTCTGCCACGCAGGTGGCAGCCTGGCTCCTCAGCCTGTCTCTGGAAGAATGGACGATGCTTTTAGCAGTTTAAAGGAGAGAGAGCACCCTGCCCACCAGAAGAAAGGAAAGCAGGGATTTGAACAGACATGTGTACCTCCATGGTCATGGCATCATTCACAGTGACCAAGGGTAGACGTGACCCAAAATGTCCATTAGCTGATGAATGGAAAAACAAAATGTGGTCCCTCCACACAGTGGAATATGGTTCAGCCTTAAAAAGGAAGGAAACTCTGATGCCTGCTACCCCACAGATGAACCTGGAAAACACAAAGTGCAAGAAGCCAGACACAAAGTCTCTGCTCGTATGAAGCATCCAGAAGTCAGATTCACGGAGGCGGGAAGTTGAGTGGTGGCTCTAATTCCAGCTGATTTGTACGGTGGGGCTGTGACAACCCAGTTCCTGCCAGCGCGGCGCTAATCTCCACACCCGCCCCAGACGGGGTCCAGGAGCCACAGGGGAGCCACAGGCTCTAGCCTGGCCTTGACCCCGCTCCCCTTTGACGTTAGACAAGTTCGTTAACTCATCTGTGGATGTCCGTGTCTCCATCAGCAAAGTGGACGTGGCTCATGGGATTTGGGATGAACGTGTAGGAGAGAGCTCTGATGAGCACCTCGGATGCACTGACTGATGGGATGGACTCAGGGCTGGGGGCTGACATGCGACCCCAGCCCCTGTGCTTGGCGTGGTCCCACCCGTGAGTGTCCGTTAGGGTGAGAACCTGGGGCGCGGAGGAGAGCAGGGCCCAGCTCCTGCTGGAGACCAGAGCTCCTGCCGCGCGTGCCCCCGCCCCACTCGTCACCCTCCTTCCCAGAACACGTCCCGACAACCTCGGCTCGGCTTTGGCAGGTCTCCTCCGTCAGACCTCACAGACTCGCAGCCGCAGCCCTCAGGTCAGACCACGCGTCTTCCTTGTCCGCAAGGCTGATGTCGAAGAGAGGAGGTTCAACTGGAGGCTTGAAAGGGTTCATTGTTCTAAGAGGAAACCTCAGGGGAGAGAGGCCTGGGAGGCGGCGGCTCCTGGTCCCAAACCTGGTCCCAGTGAGGCTCCAGAAAACTTTCTTGGCCTCGGGGCTCCTCCCTTCCTACCTCCTTTGGCTTCCATTGTGTTTTCCACTCAGCAAACAAGAGAGTCTGTATAAGCAACTTGCTAAGAAATACACATTTTTTTTAATGAATCAGCTGCCCTGGATTTGAAAATCCCAGCTGTTTTCTAAAGGCTTTGAGGTCTGGGGCAGATTGTACCCTGACTGCCCAGGGCCTCAGTTTTCTCACCTGTAAAATGGGAATCATATTAACACCTCCCTGGAAGGATTACCATGCAGACTAGAGGCTACAGTGCCTGTCACGTGTGTGGCACTGATGGCCCTGGACAGGTGCACGGGTGTTGGCTGTTGTGGTCGTCCTGTCACCCGCGCAAGGACGAGCCTGCGGTGCGCTGGGCCGGGGCACGGACGGAGGAGGGCTCTGTAAACAGCGCCATTCCCCTCCCTGGCACTTGGCTGCGGTCACCCCCAGTCTCCGTGATGAGCGTCCGTCTCCCATTCCCCACGCCCCGTCCCGAGTCTCTCAGTGGCTGACGATGCTCTCTCTTCTTAAGCCGCGTTCCCTGGACCCCTCTCCCCGCCTCCAGTCTTGTTTCCAGGGTTCGGTTTTTCCCCCTGGTTCACACTCTGTCTTTCTGTAGCACCTCTGTCCCGGAAGGTCTTCCAAGAACTATAACCCCAGAAGCGCCCCACCCCCACCACCCCCACCCTGTCGGGAGGGAGTTCTGGGGTCTCCGGCCTCCCCTGCTCCCTCCTTCCACCTGAAAAGAAGGGGAGAAAGGGCGTCAGCTTTCGCCTGCTGCTTGGCCGTTGTCCGCTGTGGCTGCAAACCCTCCGAGCTTCCATGGGCAGCGTCAGGTCTTCAGGTGGGGCCTGGTGACCCTCCCACTGGCACGACTCCAGTGCCGTCTTCCAGGACCAGGGTCTCCTCCTGTCTGTGTTGCTTCTCTTGAGCTCTGGGATCCCGGAGACGTTTGCAGAGCACTTCAACTGAGGTTCCCGCAAGGATGTCAGGAGGAATCATCACAGCGTCACACTGTCCGTGTCCGGTTAGCCCGGCTGCCTGACGTGCGCTAGCCGGTTCCCTAAAGCAGGACTGGCCTGTGCACGCCCTACGTGGGGCATGGTGCGAGTCCAGAGCAAGTGCATGGGGCCACAGACACTTCAGTCCTTCCGTTTGCCATGGCGTCTACCCCAAGGGCACTGGGAGTGGATGGAGCTGAGCGTCTCTATCTGTACCTTTCCATCCATCACATCCATTAGCAGAGCTTGCAGTATGCAACAGGCGCTCGCTAAATGCATGGGGATTGGTCAGTTCATTGATTCCCGTAGTCACTCTTCCCAGCCTGCCAATAGCTCACCCTTGACCACCACTAAACTCTCTATGAAAGATGCCAGAGGGAAAGGATGGTCCCACTGTTGCTTCTCGTTCAGACACTTGTCCGTGTCCCGGGCCAGAGGGACAACTGGACAGGACAGTCTGGCCTAAGGGTCCTCGTCTAAGTCCACTCGGGGATTAAAGCACCCCTCCTGTGGGCGTGGCCAGTTTTAGAGATCCTGGGCCCAGTTACCTCTAGATTTTCCTGAAACCATGGCATTTCATCAAGGGTCTCCCGTCAGAATTGCCCTGGGACAGAGCTGTGTTTGTGGCTGTGATTGTCCTGTTGCTGGCGCGTGGGGCTTTAAACGTTGTGGGTTTTGTTTTGTTCTTTGTCATGGTGATGGTGATGATGGCGGTGCCCTGGAGGTGTCCTGGGGCCTGGCCAGACCTTCTGGGACCGCTGCGGATGCTTCTGGGACCACTGCGGCTCGGGGAGTGGAAAGTTCCCGGGCTGGGCACTCCAGGAGCAGTGGCTGCAGAAGAGAAAGGGGCCTGCCCCACTCCCCATCTCCTTGCTCCGTCCACCCCCTTAAGGTCTTATCCTTGGCTGTGGACGTCTGGGTGAGCAGGACGTGTGGGCAGCAGGGCTGGAGGGCCTGGCACAGCTCTGATGCCCCCTTTCGGGCCCCATTTGGGCGGCACCCACAGGGCGGTGGGTACAGTCCCTTGCGTATCACTGGCAAGCCTCGGCCTGCCGGCAGCCACAACCCTCACCGCAGCTCGGGTGGGACCTGGCCGGGAGCTGGGAGCCGGGAGCAGCCGGCTGCTCGTCTGGTTCTGCTCTGAGCCGAGCATCTCGGGGGCGGAGTGGGAAAAAGGGGGCCCTTCCCGTGTCTCTCTGCTCATCAGTTCGCAGAGGGGCTGGGGAGACCTCGGGGCCCCACCTGTCTCCTACCTGAGCCACCCTCGCCCCCACCCACACACCTGTGCCAAGGTAGGAGGGAGGGGAGGCTGAACCCTCGCTCAGACCCGCTCTGGGCCGACCCTGCTCAGCGACCCGCGGCCCCTTGCTCTGCCCTCGTGTTGAGAGGAAGAGGCAGAGACCAGGAGGAGGTAGCAGGCCTACACACAGACGCTTTCTGCCCGGTTTTCCAGCTGTTCTGGGATATTTGTGTCTCCACACTCCCTTTTGCCTTTCTTTGGCTTATGTGGAGAGGTTACTGGCCAAATTAGAGGGGGAAGGAAATAACCGGTGGGGTATGTGGGTGGGAGGGTGAGCAGGAGGCACCTGGGGAGGGAGGCGCAGGCCGGTGACCAGTGAGCACCTGGCACCTGGTGCTGCGGTGCTGGCGGCAGAGGCGGGCCAGATCCTCAGTAGAACACTGAGTATATTCAATAGACAGGAATGGAACTGAGGACACTGGGTTCACATCCTGGCCTCTGTCAGGTGCCCTCTCTGTGACTTTCAGTGAGATTTTGACCCTCTAAGCCTTGTTTTCCTGTAGGATTGTTGTGCTGAAAGTCATCTGTATTTCATTTGCTATAAATACACGTATGTATGCCTGACGCACAAATGTCAAGTGTCAAGGTTACGCTGATAACAGTTCCTCTTGCATCAGGTTCCCTGGGGTGTCACGGCTGGAAGAGAAAGGCCATGTCTTTGCCGTCAGAGATTTGGGTTTGCCTTAGAGACTCCATCCCAGGTGCCAGCCCCTGGCCTCATCCCTGCCTGTCTGCGTCACCTCAGGTTCCTGGTGGCGTCCAGGCCCTGCTGGCGTCTGGCCACAGCAGCTTTGCTCTGTGGCGGCCATGTGACCGGCCCTCAGGTGCACTCCAAGGTCAGCCCCAGCCTTGCGTCTCGTCCCCAGACGCAGTGCTGGGACCGTGCCCGGGTGCCATGGCCTCCTGTCCCCTGGACAGCTCACTGTCCTCTGGTGGAGCAGGGGCCCATCTCTGTCCAGCTCCTCTGGGTTCATCACCTTTTCCCTCTGCAGACACTGGGCTGCTCAGCGAACCGTCTGCATTCACCCTGGATCTTTGGGTCCTTTATATCCTCGGAGCCTGTGGGACCAGTGCGCCCCCTGCCCGGCTCCTCCTTCAACCCCACCTTCCCTCGAGGACTCAGGCCTTCCCATCCTGCACATTGTGTTGAAGCTCAGGGAAGGTGCAGCCCTTCCAGTGGAGCCCTGCCCAAGGCTGCAGATGGAGCGTCCACGGCCCGCCTGCCAGATGCCACCCGCCCCCCTGCCCCACGCCTCCACTTCCCTTTCAGGCATCTCCCTCAGCTGCACCTCTCCCCCGATACCCACCCTCCTCATCCTGGTGACAGCAGCCCCAGCCTTCCGACTGCAGGGTCAGAAGTCTTCCAGCCACTCCAGAATCAAAACTGAATCAGGAATGAATCTGGATCCTTGAATGAATCATCCTCTCCCCCGTCCAGTCCATCCGCTGTACCTTCAAATCTGTCCAAAAATCTGAGCAACCAGGGCTTCCTTTCTCCCCCGTGTGACTGTCCCCTCATGTGACTGTCCCCATGGACCACGTGACATAGCAGGAAACTCGGATGAGAGATCGGGAGACACAAATGCAGGTTTCGGATCTGCACCGCTGTGGCTAATCGTGAAGTCGTCGGCTCGGCGTGTGAGTTCCTCACCGTGTTCCGGGCACTAAGTCCTCTCCGTGGACTGCCTCGCTCCCTGTGTGACCTTAGGCTGGTGGCCTCACTTCTGTGTTGCTTCATCTCTAAAGATGACAGTAGTTCACAGGGAGGTGGGGAGGAGGCAGTGACATAGGTGAGAATTTTTGAGAAAAAGCACCAAGGGATCTCTGCGTATTTTCACCAAACAGCCAACTAGACCACCCCGGGCCCTTGAGGAGCCCGCACCGCACGAGGAGGGGTGTTGGCAGAGCTCCAGCCGCTGGTGAACTTGATAGCCCGGCCTTGTGAGGGCGGAATGTGAGACCCCTGGCGGTGCTTCGTCTGTCACCTGAGATCGGGGTGTCTGTCTCCTGGCACAGATGTGACACCTGTTACGGGGGAGCAGGCCCTGGCAGCTGGCACGCTGGGAGGAGAGGCCTGGCCAGGAGCAGGAGCAGCTCACCCACCCGAGGGCAGGGGACAGGCGTCAGCAGAGCAGTTCAGTCAGCACGATCCCTACCTCCTCGTTCCCCCGGGAGGCTGAGCAGGGCCCAGGCAGCGTGGGGCGGGGGTCACAGAGGAAAAGCGGGGTAAGAGGAAACGTGAAGCCCTGCTCGGTACCTGCGCTCAGTGACTGTTAACGGGAGGACCCAGAGGTGCAGAGGGCAATCCCTGGCAACAGAGAGGCAGTGCCACCTGTTACCCCACCGCTGGGCTGCTGGGGCCACGAAGCTTGCTTTTCTGCATGGTCAGGAGAGAGCCGGCTCCTGGCCACTTGCCAGGACTCACATCTTCTGAGTCCTGAGTCCAGAACCCCAAACTGAGACGTTGTAGGGGACGCTCACTGTGTCTGACCCCCTCTGAGTCTGACGTGCATCATTTAATCCTCATGACAGTCCTGATCCCCCTCCACCTGGAGGAAGAAACCAGGGCCAAAGAGGTTAAATTACTTGCTCACGCCGTCACTGTTTATGAGAATGGAGATCCAGGTAGATCTTTCTGACTCCAAAGCCTTGCTTGTCTTTTCCACACCGTGAAGTCTGCAGAGGACATTCCCTGCTCCTTGAGTTGCTAGAGGCTGGGCTGTCCTGCTCCAAGTATTCCGAAGCTGCCCAGACTCACCTGGGACCCGGGCAGGGCCTGGTCAGGTTTAACCGCTGACTCCCGCTCCCCGCAGTGGGTTTGTCCTTGTTCACTGGGAAAGCCACCTCTTACCGTCTTTTAAAGAGAAACAGAGCCAGACACAAGTTACAGGGAATAGATGTAATTCAGTGCAATTGCAGTGTGGGAAAGAGACTTCAATATGGAGCTGAGCGCAGTTCCAAAGAGCACAGACGGCAGGGGGTGGTCAGCGGGATGGAAAGTTACCAGAAGAGACATCAGGGTAGGGGGATTCTTGCTAGACTGGCCTAACAGGGTCCCTGCTCCAGGCAGGCCAAGGACAGGGCCCCAGGACAATGCCTCCTCGAAAAGAGGGCTGGGGGGTGGGGTATAGCTCAGTGGTAGAGAGTGTGCCTGGCAAGCAGGAGGTCCTGGGTTCAATCCCCAGGACCTCCATTAGAATAAATTTAAAAATAAATTAACTTAATTACCTCCACCCCCCCCAAAATTGAAAAATAAAAATAAAATAAAAGAGGGCTCAAAGGAGCCTGTCTAGAGTTTGGTGAAGGTGAGAGTCCCCTGTCACCTCCCAGCCGATGCCAGGACCAGCACGCATTTGACCCATGGTGAGAGTTCGTTGAGGTGAGCTGTGGCTTCCAGGAGTCCAAGAATTTGGCTGGAAGTGACCACTAGTCCACAGGGGAAGAATGTGCATCTGAGACACACCAGAGCTCCCACTGATAGGACAGTCAGCATGTTTGGTATCAGTTAATTTACCTGTAGCAGAGCAAAGTCAAGGAAGAGGGGACCCAGTGGTTCCGGGCAGAAGCAAGGCAGTGCCTGCCTGCCCCTCCCACAGTGTGGCTCACCTGTCACCCGGGCCCCCACGCCCCCACTGCTAACCAGCAGCTCCTTGGGCTTGAGAGCGGCTGGGCCCCGTGGCTGTGTCTGCGCTGGGTTCACGGAGGAGCAGGCGGCTTCCCCTGGAGCTCGTCCAGGAACCTAGGAATTGGTCTGGGAACACTGATTCTCCTTCTGCCTCATTCCCCATCCTCACCTCAGCCACTGGCCCCAGGACCCCGCTTCCCCAGGACGGCCCTCTGCCCTGAACTGGTCTGACCTGTTTCTGACATCAGCCACGTTGGCCAGAGCCATGGAGACAGGAGAGACCTTGATGCAGAAGTCCCTCTAAACATAACACGAGTCGGGTTGAATGTCTGCACAGAAACCCAGAGGCACAGATCTCCGGGGGAGGCCTCTGCCCCCAGGATTCCTCAAAGTCCACGCCGAACAGCGTCCATGGGAGAAAATGAAGGCGGGATGAGGAAACCAGCTTGCGAGACAGAGAGGCTCCCTGTTCGGATCCTGGCTTTGAAACCAGTCTTCAGCTCTGGGCTCCTTTTTCCCATCTGTAAAGTGGGGCTAATCAGACTGGCCCGTCTCCCAAGATTCTGCCAGGCTCTGATGAGATCATGCCTGGGGGTGCTCTGAAGGGCCACATGGGACGTCGCTGGGTAAGAAAAGCCACCCACACACCCCCTCGTGCGAAGTGCTGGCGTCCACCTTCCGTGGCCCGTGCCTATGGGCTGTGCTCTTTCCTCTGTGTCTCTACTGGTGCTCATGCGGGGGTCCTCAGACACTCCCAGTGGCCAGCAATGTGGGTCTAACTCCTGTGCAGTGCCCTCTGCAGACTCCTGGGGGCATCGTGATGAAGATGCCGCAGAGTTTTCTGCACCTTCGCAGCCCAGTGGGTCTGACACTGAGGCTGAGGTTCCAGCCTCAGCCTTGTCACTACAGGAATCCCGCCTTGTTCGTGGTTTCTCTTTCTGTGGTTCCCATTAGCCAGGGTCAACCACGGCCTGAAAATATAAAATGGAATATTCCAGAAATAAGCAATTCATAAGCTTTAAATTGCATGCTGTTCTGATCAGTGTAGTGAAATCTCGCACCAGCCCACACTGTCACACGCGGGACGTGAGTCACCCCTTTGTCCGGCACGTCTCAGTGTTGGTCACTTTGCAGCCATCTCAGTTATGAGAGGGACCATTCTGGCATCGCAAGTGCTGTGTTCAAGTGACCCTTATTTTAAACAATACTGTCCCCAAAGCGCAAGAGCAGTGAGGCTGGCTGTTCACATTCGCCAAGGAGAAGCCACAGAGCACTTTTTTAAAGTGAAAAGGTGAAAGTTCTCAACATAATAGGAAAACCCCCCCAAAAAATGTATGCGGAGCTTGTTAAGATCTATGGCAAGAATGAATCTTCTATTCGTGAAATTGTGAAGAAGGGAAAAGAAATTCGTGCTGGTTTTGCTGTTGTTCCTCAAATTGCAAAAGTTACAGCCATGGTGTGTGATAAGTGCTCAGTTAAGATGGAAAAGGCATTAGATTTGTATACTAAAATATTTTGAGGAAGACTCATTCACAAAACTGCTATTGCAGTATGTTGTTGCAATTGTTCTATTTTATTTTTAGTTGTTAATCCCTCACTGTTTCAGGCATCCCCAGGGGGCCATGAATGCAGTGCCAGCAGACAAGGGGGTCGACTGTGTTTGCTAAGTGAGCCTGGATCAGTCACTGGCCAGCCGGGTTCCGTTTTCCTCATCTGCAGTGAGGACTAGATGGTCCTGAAACCCCCTCCCAGCTCCTGACGGCCCATGATTCTGGCTTCTGGTTCCACACGTCAAAGCATTCCCCTGACCTGAGGGCAGCCCTGGCCCCCGTGGTCAGCAGTGCCGACCACCGAGCTCTGGTTCTCCCTCCACCTCAGTGCACCCCTTGCCTCTTTGCGTGGCTTTGATGGCACATGTGCCCCCCTCTCTCCCACCGTGGTTCGGCTGTTGGCCTTCCCAGTTGTGTGTGAGCCGTCGGGGTGCAGACATCGGCCGCCGTGCACAGCCTGCAGGTTGACCCAGGAAGAGCGGGGCCTCGAGCGTGCTCTCCTGCTGTTTATAAATTTGATTGGCAAACACCAGGTCCTGGCCCACCCTTTCCTGCCGCCCCAGCCCTGGTTCCGTCCAGCAGCCCAGCGACTAACCGTGGGCAGTGGGAGGGCCTCCCCGGCCAGGCCCCCCGCTGTCTCCTGGCTTGGAGGAAGGGAAGCTGTGAGGGGAAAGCTTAGCTCCACCGCCTTGCACGACCGGTTGGTTCCCCACAGCAGCTTTTGGGAGAAACAGGCCTTGAGGCAGCGGGGGGAGAAGTGGCCTAGAGCGTTGGTCACCAGTGGCAGGACAGGGCTCCATTTCACCTGGCCTGGCTCCTTCCTTGATTTAGGAAAGACAGCAAGTCCTGACGGGATATGAGCTCACATCCTCTCTCTGCCCTGTTGACCTGGGCCAGGGTGTGACTGTCTCCCAGCGCCCCCAGCCCCCCCACGTGCCCACCGCGTGAGGAGGGTGAGGAGCAGCGGGAGGAAGGCCCTTACCTCTGTGCCTGCATGGACTGATGAGGTCTTCAGCTTGTGTTGACCTGGTTCCTCCCCTTCTTCCCCTTCCACAGGGTACGGCAGCTGGAGGGAACTGGCCAAGGCTCTGGCCAGCAGGAACATTCCGGCTGTGGATCCAAATCTCCAGTTCTTCCTTCCCCAGAAGCTGGGCCTCAAGGTACGTGGCAGGGTCAGCCCAAGCCTCCCTGCTGTGCATCACCAGGGGTCCTCGCTGGCCCTGCCCTTGGAGCCTTAAGGGCACCTTCCACTGTCCTGGTGGGAGACGCAGGGCACAGAGAACCCCTGGAGGGCAGTCTGGCATCACCGGTCTCCCAGCTTCTTGGGGAGAGATGTCCATCCTGCCCTCCTCAAAGCCTTTGTCACGTAGCTCAAGATGCCCCTCTCTGATCCACTCCAGGCACCTGGTCCCCATCCCCAAAAGCAGCAGAGGGCTGGAGGCAGGGCCAGCACGTCTTGTCCCTTGCTGGCATGAGGGCTAGGCTGGTACTTGAGGGGCAACCCCAGGTGCTTGCTGCCAAGAGTCAGAGATGATGTGGTGCGTAGACACCTCTCCCGGCAGGTAGCTGGGAGACAGATTTAGTGGAGCGTTTTCCTTGTAGTTTCTTGGGTTAATGTTCCCAAGCAGGGCAGGAGCAGCCCTGGGTGGGGATTAGGGAGCGTGAGGTCCAATTCAGTTGGCAGCCCTAAGGCTGAGCCTCTGAGCCAAGAACAGACCCGGATCCCTGAGGCTGGACCAGGAACCAAACTGAACCCGTGGACCTGCTCGAAGAGAAGAGTTGGGGTGTCCCCAAGGGACTCCCTAATTGTTGGGGCAAATCCGGGCAGAGCCTTGAGGGGATGTAGAGGAAGAAGGAGGCAAGGTCCCTGCCCTCAGGAGAGCCTGGTCCAATTAGAAAAGAATTTCCGTATGAGAAGACTGAGAAAATTCAGGAAAGCAGGAGAATCTCAGGAGTATGCATTGATGAAACTGTGAGGAGGTATATTCCTGAGGGATATAGTGTGAATCAGAAATGGGGGTGCCCCTAAGACAACCTGTGGACCTGGAGGAAATATCTGCAAATGATATGACTGACAAGGGCTTAATTTCCAGAATATGCAAACAGCTGATATAACTCAATAACAGAAACCAAACAACCCAATCAAAAAATGAGCAAAAGACTTAAATAGACATTTCTCCAAAGATGGCCAAGAGGCACATGAAAGGATGCTCAATAGAGCTACCCTATGATCCAGCAATCCCAATCCTGGGCATATATCTGGAGAAACTCTAATAATTTGAAAAGACACATGCTCCCCAATGTTCACAGCAGAACTGTTTACAGTAGCTAAGACATGGAAGCAACCTAAATGTCCACCAGCAGATGGCTGGATAAAGAAGTTGTGGTATGTGTGTATATATAAAACACACACACACACACACACACACACACACACACACACACAGTGGAGTATTACTCAGCAATAAAAAAGAATAAAATAATGCCATTTGCAACAACATGGACAGACCTAGAGATTATCATATTAAGTGAAGTCAGACAGAGAAAGACAAATACCATATGAGAACATTTACATGTGGAATCTTAAAAAATGATACAAATGAGCTTGTTTACAAAACAAAAAGGGACTCACAGACCTAGGAAACAAACTTACTGTTCCTGGGGTGGGGGAAGGGGCGAGGCAGGGATAAATTGGGAGTTTGGGATTGGCAGATGCAAACTACTGTACGTAAAATATATCAACGAGGTCCTGCTGTACAGCACAGAGAACTATAGTCAATATCCTATAATAACCTATAATGAAGAAGGATATGCAGAGGAATGTGTAATTGAATCACCACGCTGCACACCAGAAATTAACACAACATTGTAAACCGACTATACGTCAATTTAAACAAAAGAAGAAATGGAGTGTCCCTTAAGTTGACATGGCAGGGCTGACTCCTGACCCACAGGGACTTTCACGGAGCCCCAGTCCTGTTGTCACCCTGACGCTCCCACCAAGTTCCTCCTCTGCTGTTCCTCCAGGACCAAGAGTCTGCGCGAGGCGGGAGCGGTGGCAGCAGCTACCTGACGTGGAATAAGCCGGTCCCCTGGCTCTCCGAGGTGAGGCAGCTCTTCGAAGGGTTAGGAAGTACTGTGTACAGGTAGTTCCAGCGACCACAGAAAGTCTCCTTCTGGCACTTATTATTACAAATTTAGGGGGAGGTTCTAGCTCAAGCGGTAGAGCACATGCTTAGCATGACAAGCCCTGGGTTCAACCCCTAACCCCGCCTCTAAAAATAAATGGACCTAGTTACCCCTCCCCAGATAGTAAAGTAATACGATAACAAATAAATATTTAAAAAGTATTTTTTTCACCCAAGTTAAAGAAAAGAAAGGAAAGGGTTCGAGGCTCACTGGATTTTCTTCGTTTAGGGAAGAGTTAATGTTTGCTGCGGGCCTACTGTGTGCCAGGCGTTCTGCACCATCTCAAACCCACTTCATGAGCCTGCAGGAAGGCCCAGTATCCCCATTTTATGGGTGAGAAAAGCAAAGCTCAGGAAAGCTACAGGACTTTCATGTCCATGCCAATCCCCAGTCGTAAAGTTCAGTTTCCCAAACCGCCTTTCTCGGACCGTTCAGTCCTGTCAGATATTCCAGGCAGAAAGGAGTCCATTGTTAGGTAGGGTTTAAAATCTATGGCCATTCACTGCTTGGAAGTACACATGGGAGGTTCTGGTTCTGCGGTGATCCGTTTGGCTCGGTTTAGCTCGGCGTGCCTCAAACTGCTTCCTGAACTGCCTTTTTTCCTGTGAAACATCTGTTAACACTCTATGAAACCAGGGTTCTAAGGAACATACACGAGGAAGCTCTGCTTCTGACAATGTTTATAGGAAGTGGTTAAACGTGTGAATAAACATTGTTATAAGCATCGTCATACCTTTTATTTACATAGGATTTGACCGATTCTTTTTCTTTTAGTGAAGATACTGTGGCTGGGGAGGTGAATTAACACGCACAAGATTACCTCGAGTGAGTGCTCGCACCGAGACTCCATAGCAGCCTGGTGCTCTAGGGGCGAAAACTTTAACTTTGGGTTTCATGTTGTACAACTTGTCCAAGCCTCTCTTGGCCGGGTGGTGCTGGCCAGCCCACGGTCTTCATCCACACCTGTCACACTGATTTCCAACCCACCCGTTTGCTGTGGGGCAGGAGTGAAGGAGGCAGTCTCATGCGAAGTGTCACGTTAGGTTACCCGCCTTGTGAAATTGTCTCTGCGTAACCCCTGAGAGAGGGCGGATCACACTGCACACCTGTACAGAGTGACACCATCAGGTAATTAGGCCCCACCCCACCTGCAGACAGCATTTCGAAAAGCAGGTGATTTCAAAACCATCAGTCCAGTGATCCAGCCTTCTTTTTTTTTTTTAAATAATGCTGATTTCCTTTTTGGAGGGGGAGGTAACTAGGTTTGTGAATTTTATTTATTTGAATTTTTAATGGAGATACTGGGGATTGAACCCAGGACCTCGTGTGTGCTGAGCATGTGCTCTACCTCTGAGCTACACCCTCCCACAGTGATCCAGCCTTCTTTCCTTTGAGGACAGTTTGGATCGTTTTTCTTAATGAACCAATTATTTGGAAAGGTTATAACTATGTAATATCTTGCATTTATTAATCACTCATTTCTCCACTTTTTTTGGCCAATCAAGGATAAATACATATATGAAATGAAAACCGTGAACCCAAACAGCACATAGTGGTTAAAATAGGATTAACTTTTCAAAGAAATAGTTGCTCTTTTGGTAAGTGTGTTCAGACTTTTGGTGGCAAATGCCCGGTATCCACAGACTTTGTTCCCTTAATATTAAAAGTAGCTCACAATGTCCTCATTACAGTCTCCATGGATCTTCAGAGCATCACTGAAGATCCAATCTTCTTTTAACAACAAGGGTGAGAAGACTGAGAGCTTAAGTAACCCACATGCAGGCACCAGCTGCGCAGTGGTACCACCTCCTCCCGCCCATTGTGGGGACCTCTCTGTTCCCCTCTCCTGCCCTTTGACATGCGGTTTCAGCAGGAAATGCTCAGGTTAATGACATATGTCACTTATCCAGCATCTGCCAGCTGTCAGGGGCTGTTAGGTTGTGCTGTCAGGGCCCCATTCCAGGCGATGGCTCAGGGAGGGGTTAACTCGCTCACCCCCAAGGTGGCATGGCTGGTGCAGCTGCCCCGAGGGTGAGCGTGGATGGAATATGAGAAAGCTGATGGCCTCTTCCTGGACGTCTCCCTGCCCCAGCCTTTGGCCGGCAGCTCTGGGCCTCGGAAGCCACAGGTCAGGCCCAGGCATTCTGCTGTGTGTGTCAGACCGTGAGTGGAGGACGGCTGGTGGGCTGGACTTCATGGGGTCACCACCGCCTTCAAACGCTAATCCCTGTCGGCCCAAATCACAAGACACTGATTAGCAACTCCCACTAATTAACAAACCTCAGTGCTTGTCCATTCACTTCCCAGTCAGCACACACCATTGCCCAAACACTGTTTATCATGCAGGGCACTCCCCCCAGAATTTACTAACGGTTTTATTGAGATATAGTTCATATACCATATAATCCACCCATTTAAAGTATACAACTTGACGGCTTTTAATAGATTCGTAGAGCTGTGCATCCATCACTATTAGTACATGTTTGTACACCTTCAGTACATTTTCGTCATCACAAAGAGAAACCCCTGACCTGTTAGCTATCACCCTCACTACCTGAAGCCCCCAGCCCTGGGCGATCACTGACCTCTGTGTCTCTAGCCTTGCCTGCTCTGGACACTTCAGATAAAGGGAATCGTACCCTCTGTGGCCTTTTGCGCCTGCATGTGTATCAGAGCGTCGTTCCTTTTTTCCGGCTGAATAATATTCCACCCTGTGGTTGGATTGCAGTTTCTTGTCCTCAGTAGATGGGTATTTGGGTTGTTTCTGCTCTTTGGCTCTTGGGAGAAATGCCACTGTGAACATCTGTGTCCGAGTTTCTGTGCGGATCAGACTTCCCTTTTTCCAGAGCCCTGAGCTGCCGTCGGCACACAGGCTGGTCACCAGGGGAGATGCAGGTGGCTTCTCAGTTCACCGAGAGCCATCTGTTCAAGTGGGGATAGTTTCTTCCATTAGGATTTTAGCAGATGGGCTCTGCCCCTTGCCTCAAAATCCAGAGGCACCTCTTGTCTTCAGGGAGCTGGGACCCCCTGGGAATCCAGGGGGTCCCACACAGGGCAGGTGTGTGCAGGGAATCAAGAGTCGCTCGAGGGCTAGAAACTGCACAGGACCCGGTGACCTCTTGGTCCTGCTGGGTGGAGCTCACGTGGTCCAGCCAGGCGTGCTGGTCCCGCAAGCGTGAATCTGACTGAGCAGCAGCGAGGGGCGGCGGAGGGGCCGTGCTCACCGCCCGGGCTGGGCTTCTGACCCCTTCCCCCCTTCCCCTGCCCAAGCCCCTGGGGCCTCTGGCCTCCTGGCTGAACACAGCCGACTTCTGGAGGCATGTCCCCCCACCCCCACAGTTTGCTAGGGACCTGAAGGTCTCCCGGGAAGCGGCAGTGGGGAGGCCGTGTGGAGGAGACAACTGAGTCTTGTAAATGGGACTTAAGGAATTTCCCCAGAAGTGGCACAATGTCCCCATTCTTTCCTTCCAAGAAGCCTTAGGCTGCCCACCACAGACCCAGCCCACATTCTCTCTCCCACCCAGCCCAGCCCCCACTCATATTCCAGGGAATGATGGCCGTGACCCAAGTCCCCACAGGCCAGTGTGCCAGGAAGTGCCATTTTGCCGAAGGGACAGGGATGACAGGCTCTCCGCCTGGGGCCGGGGCACCCCGCCAGTCTCACCTGGGCCTTCCTGTCGGGGAGCTCTCCCAGCACCTTCTCCTCTCCCCACCTCCCTCCCTCTAGACCTCTTGCTGAAGACTTTCTATCCAGGCTTCCAGCCTGAGTGTCCCTTCCTCCCGTCTTCCTAGGGAGGCTCAGACTTTGCTATCTGGGGGGCCCCAGAGCGGGACAGGCAGGGCCTGTCTGTGCAGCCGGATGGAGGCCCACCTCCCACCTCCTGAAGGTTAAGCTCCAGGGAGGGGGTGGGGGAGAGCTGGGGTGCAGTAATCTGAACCTCTTGGTCAGGACAGTTCGGGGCAGTACCCTGAGCTTCCCTCCCTCT